CACCTTTCTTTCTTCAAACCCAATTTCTTCCTGGGCCAGTTGCTGTCATTTCAGTTTCATTGCATCTTTGTAATGGCATAGCAATAACTTTGCATCACAAAACATTTATGTGCTGGGATACCACAAAGCTATAAACACCCAATTGCAGTGCTAAATTAGATGAATTTTACTCACTGCCAGATGTGTCCCATATCAAGCAAACTGAAAGAAATGTTTCCTTCCATTATGTTACTCAGACACAGCTATTTTCCCTTTTTTGCTTTGGAACATTCTTTCTTTTTTGGAATAATTATTCACACTTAATGAATTACTTCTTTTCCTTTATCTAAATCAAGGGGAGGGGGGGGGTGTTTTGGTTTGGTTTTTTTTTTATGAAGCAGCCCTGCAGTATATTTCATGGGTTTTTTCCACATAGTTATTAATAAGCCTGCAAGAGCTGACCCATGTCCTCTGATTATTTCCTCCCCCCCCACACCCCCCAAAAAAATCTGTATCTGGTGATTTGGAGTCTGAAATTAGTGATAAAATGCCTTGTATTTAGTAGAAAATTTAAAGCAATAACGATTTAACTATTGCTTCAGGATCTAAGGGAGTTGCCCAGTCTGTTGGTTTTTACAACCCATGTCATTTCCTTGTTCCCACTCTGGTAATACCTAACATGGTGCACTTGTAGGCCCTGGAGATTCCCTACAGACTTCCCAAAGGATGCAGCTGCTGCAGTTCCCATTTGCAGGTCAGTCGTGAGGCTGAGAGCATTTCCCAAACAGACAGATAAGTACAAGCACACACAACCACGCACTGCACAGTCCAACACAGGCAGAGCACCTCCCTAAACACCAACAGCACTGACATAAACAAGAATAGGGATAGCTCATATGTTGTACTTAGTCCCTTTCAGCACACACCGGCTAGAATGAGACCCACAGAAAGTGGGTAAGATGATATAGTAGGACTAAGGAGTATGTACCTTAAGAAAAAGAAGCATACTCTTGTTGTCATTCAAACATGCATACGATCCCACATAACTCTTCAGGAAAGAATTGACTCCTTCCTTCCTTTGATGGGAAATAAATGAATAAATACAGACTTTCTTCTTCCTCTTTAATTTGGGAATTGCATCTGTGCAACTCCTGAGATAACTATACCTCCTACTGTATATCATCTTATTAGTTACTCTGCTGCTGTTAAACATATCTTCTTCATTTAGATTGCACCTTCATGCCACTTTAAAAATTTATTTTCACTGAAAAATAAGTTATATTTAAACCAGTATTTGAAGGAGAAAAAGAAAAAACTCTTAAACTTTATCCAAAGGGCTTCTTCTAGAAATACCAAAGCATTAAATATAAGTTTGAAGGTGGAAGAATCTGGTCTTTAATGACTCTTCAAGATTCTAGTACAGTTAGGACTTATTCCAAAATATCAGGTCAAGACGTCACAACATGCTCTCCTGAGCAAGACATATCTCTTCGTACTGCTTACCCTAGAGTCACACACAGTAGTTTCACGTATACACATGCTGAAGACCCTCTTCTCCCTGCTGTGACTTCCAGCAATGAAGTTTCTCAGCTACAGGATACTTATCAAATAAGAGTTGGGGGAAAACCGATCTAGTATTATAACATTAAAGAAAAAATCCAACAATGATCAATTATTTTTATTTACATGTAATTTTTTTTTTTTAAACAAAAAGAAGTTTTCTTCAAGTGCAACAGCAGAGTGGTACAAAATGAAGGAAACATGCAGCAGGTTCGGCAATGCTGCCAGTGTCTGCAGGCCTATGAGAAGGTAGACGACTCCAGGATTTGGAGGTCATGGAAAGGCTGATGTCTCATGAGGATGCCATTGGTGACACCAACTAACAGTTCTAAGACACTTAGCACAGTACAGCACAAAAACACATAGAACATGACAAAATGCAACTGGTCTTGCAGCTTCTTTAGACAGCCTTCCTGAGAAAGCTGCTCCAGATGGCCTAAGTCACCCCTGCAGTGAGAATACTTCTCCTTACAGCAGCTTTCAGGGACATGAGCTTTTTCAGCCTGAAGATGCCAAGAAGCATTTAGCCAGTCTGTGTAGTTTTGGATCCCACAACACTGCAGCTTCCTCTGTACTGTATCCACAGCTCTGCTTCCTGGATCCTGGGAGTGTGTCCCATTGTACTGATAGACAAGGTAACCCACAGTGCTTTTCAGCTCAGAAGCCATCCGAATAGAGTAGAACTCTGCCAGAACTGCTGAAGACGTTTGTAGGCAAAGAAGGACCAGGAGCAAGTACATAAGAGCCCCTTGCTGATAGCGGGAGCCCTTAGCAGAAATAGACATAGCCAAAACTCCAGTAGGTAGCAAGATAAGTGCAGCTGCAACAGCCAGCCAGCCAGGGAGAGACAGGAAAGAGTCCTGAAATAAATATCCGTAGTTCTTGTACATAAGGATCACAGAAACTCCACCAAAGGCCAGAACTGCAGCAATGCCCCAGAAGACAAATCCTAGGAACCTCAGCAGAAATCGAGCAAAGGACCTGACCCAGGAATCCTCATAGCCCCACAAAGATGAGGACAACATCATCATTGTGACCACCACAGCTCTAAATCTCCTCATCCTGCTCACTACTAGCAGCCCAGACCCTCACCACCACCGTTTAAGAGGCCTCCATCCCACTTATCCAGGTGCAGCATATGACATCTCCACCCAAAAACAACTTTCAAGGGAGCAACACTGATGAGACTCCCTCAGCAGAAAGACTGGGCCCTGCATCAGCTAATGGGATGCCAGCTCTTTTTCAGCATAGGCTGCAGAAACCAGGAGGGTATGGCCAAGCTTGCTGTCAAGAAGTCATTTACTCTGCTGTCATTGGAGACATTTGCATCTGAAGGAGGAGGACAGCTGGAAAAGAGCTGCACCCCTTGCTTTACCACATTCACGTGTTAAAGAACTAAATGTAGGTAAACAGTCAAGGTGGTAGCCATTGGGGTTAGTTCAGATCACTTCACAAGCGAAAGAGGTAATCCAACTATCAATCCTACAGCAGTAGCCAAGCTGGCAATAAATGCACAAGTCAGAGTCATTAACGAGGAATAGTTTAAGCAGAAATGTTCCAGGGATCTCCATAGGTAACAATCACCTAGACTCATTATCCTTCCCAGTATGTTTACCACTCATTATTTTTTATGAGGGTCATAATGATGTTAATAATATTTTGCTCTTTTTTTTACTCAGCAAGATTTCTGTAAGATAGCTTCAATTACTCAAGACACCTGGATGACAAATCCCTACCATTTCACACTGGTACCCCTCAGTTTGCATCACCCATGATTTGACTGAATACAAACAACAGTAAGAACTGTATTAACTTTTCCTTGTGTGTAAAGAAACTGAATTACACACCAGCTAAATGACTTCATGACAGCCCCAAAGGGAATTAATGCCACTTATCAGCCAGCAGAAGAGCATTATTACTCAAACATGTGATACAAAAGAGCCAAGCAGGATGGGAAACCTGCATAAAACTTGCCAAGGGCCTCAGAAAGGCAGATTCTAAGGGCAACAGTGATTCCCTAATCTTCCTGATAAAATCCTGTAACATCTCTTCTGTTTCTGAAGATGCAGAGCAGGGCTACTACAACAGGCATACATAAGGGACAATACAGAGAAATGATCCTCTTTTAAGAAACATGAGCACCTGCAGACCCTGCAGAAAATCAGAGTAAGTCAATGCTCAGATCCCTGAAACCCTGGAGAAGTCTCAGCAAAGCTGATGATCCCACATCTGTCAGACATTTTCAAGGACCTATAGCTGTTACATATGCTATGCACACACAGATGTTGGGCTGATCCCCATCAGAATGTCTTTCTATGTGCTGTACAAACATGTCATTAAAGCTAATTATTTTGGAATGAGATAAATTGCTTTTATTATTTTTAATCTTGCCATTAACCGTAATTAACATGCAGTGATTAACTTGTTAAATCTTAACCAAATGCTCCTTTCAAAGTTGTTCTAAGACGCATGTTTTTCTGCAACTGTTTTCTGAAGTCTGTGTCTGCCCTCTATCCTGTTCAGCTTGCTGCTACCCCCAGCCCTCCAGCTGTGTTGGTTTTGCTGCCATTCCCTTATTCTCTTGAATGCCTTTTTCTCTGATTTCTGTGTTGTGCATCGGGAAGAGGGAGAAGAGGGGAACAGAAAGGATTTCCCCTCACATCTGTACATGCAGGCAAACCACTGATTTAATGTTTCTACGATGAAGAAGAAACATATCAGAGAAGTGTGAGGAAACACACCAGCAACATATCAGAAAATACTGTGAAGAGTCACAGCTCCTTACTGCTAGTTTGCAAGCTTTGTGAAAAAAGCACATGAACCTGCCTCTTTTCCATTCTGCCTTCCCCGTGCTTATAGAGCTTAATGAGATATTAAGAATTGACTTACAACACCATTTACTTTTAGCTTATTCTGCAATCTCTGAAGTACATTAGAAAGACTCAAACTGCCTACAGGAGAATTTTACTTCACCTCTTGTTCACTTCAGCCAGGGGGACTGCCATCCCATCCCTGAATACAGAGGAGAGAATTTCAATGGTTATTGAAGCCTAGAGGCTCTTATCTTTCTAGATATTCCCCAAATGTAATAATTTCCCATTTACTTAAATCTGACTCTTTGGACCGCTGTGAGGGTTTTTTTTATTTCTTTCATACAGCTGTGGGACAGAGAGGGAGGGAGAGAGAGAGGGGTGAAGCAGCTTTTGTAAGTGGAGGGGTTTGTGTTGCCTCAGGCTCTAGCCCTTCCACTGGTGCCTTCATGCTGGCTTAGCCTTGCACGGAGGGCTGCGAGCCAGCCCATGAGAGCAGGGAGCCATCCGCACACAGCCTGCCCCTGAAGTCAGGACTTCTGTGGCAGTACAAGCAGACAGGAGAACGCACACACCTGCCTATTCTCCATGGGAATCAGAAGTACCAACACTAAAGGTCATCTGGAAGCCAGTTCCCAGGTAAGAGCTCTCAGTGCCCAGTGCCATCGGCGGGGATGAATCATACTCAGCACCACACAAGAGGAAATTGCTGGAGTGGCAATTAACATTGGCAGGGCTGTCTAAAACCCCTCACCCACTTTGTGCTAGGCAGTGCATATGCACTCAGGAAAAGAGAAAAAATGTGTGCCATCTGGTAAGACGGGCAAGACAAAGAAGGACAAGAAAACATAGAACTGGTCCCTGAAGTACACAAAAGACCTAACTGGCACCCTCAATAGCATTGCATTTCTACTAAGTAATTTTACCTGTGTGTGCGGCCAAAAGTTTGGAAAAAGCAACAAGCCAAGGTATCCATCAAGGGACTGTAAGATGACAAAGAGAGCATAGGTAAGGCAGAGTAGGAATGCTCCTCTCTTTTCTTTCCAGTGGTAAACAGCATAACATGATAAATGCCATCTCTGCTTTCTCTGGAGTTGTTTCTGCTTATGAACTGATGAGTATTGAAATTCAAATGTGGATGTAACAGATAATACATCTTAGATTAACTACTTTCTGGAATGTTGCTGAAAGTATAATCCTTCAAGTTAATAAAATGTCAACTGTGTATTTTTTGCATTCATTGCTCTAGCAAGTCGTGACTGATGTTGAATAGGTCTGATGTGCCAAGAAGGTCAAAGAGGTTCACTCCATGTTGTAAGGCCCTGATAACAAGTGAATGTCGCAAACACCCATCTTGACATGGGCAGGGATGGGCTGATGACGACCAGGGAGTGTTGAACAAGGACGGAGCCTGCGGAGGCAGGATAACGTCTGGTGAGACCACTCCTCTATTCCTGAAACACGTAAACAAAGACCATCTGTGCCCTGTGCACCATGTGCCTGTGACAGATCACCACTCGCTTGGTCAGCCCTGAAGGAGGGGGCAGTGAGACCCCCGGACCCCCACAACCCACCGGCTCATTTCTAGAACATTTCTGACCATTCCTGAGCACATACTGCGCCTGCTCAGTGATGACAGACCCCCGCCTATGGGGCAGGCACATCGGGTTATAAAAAGGGAAAACATAAGTTTTCGGCGTGCGCCCACCACTCGAAGACTACAACTACAAGCAGATAACATCGCTGGATCCAAGTGTGGTGATATCTTTTCTCTCCCTCTCTCTCTTTGCTTTCTCTCTTTCTTTTCCTCTCTATCACTTTGTCTCTAACTTAATTTTCGGCACATTAGAGTAATATCATGATACATTTTGCTAAACCCTTACCTTTCATAGTTCTGCTAAGTTTTGAGCATTGTTACGACCTTTGCCAAGCCTCTATCTTTTGTAGTTCCGCTGAGTTTTAAGTAAATTTATGATTGGTTTGAACCTCTAAAGTAATTGTCGTTACTTTTGATTACTGCACAGAGAATTAAAAATTTAACCTCATCCTCACCCCCTGAGTGGGACGGGACAGGCACCAAGTGAATGTTGTCATTGTGCAAATGCAACATAGACAGATGACTAGATTCATTTGGAATGACATGGGCTGTAATAGAAATTGATCAGGGAGCCCATCTGAGCTCTTGCTGTAATGGACAACAATTCAAATCAAGATGGCCAGCTGGTCCATTCAGATTTGTGTGAGCAAGAAACCAAGAGGTGACCATGGGTTGAGAGCACAGTTAGACAAACTCATCTTTTAATTTTAATACAAACCTCATCTAAAAAGAGACAAGATCTCAAAGCCAGATCCGCAGCCACTGCATTCATTGTCACAGTGACACAGAAGAGCCCTAAAGCTGCCTCAGAACAGCTGCATTTCCCCTGTAACCCATGTACACATGAAGCTACTGTAGCTGGACCTTGCAGGTGAAATTAAAGCACTCTGGAAGAGGTTTGGCTTCGGTGTTTAAAGGTCTTCTTAGACTAAAGCACACCCATAGCATAGCACATGATTTTAAAACCTTACTAAAACACAGAGGTTTTTATCAACTTCATCTACTCCAGCTTTTATATTAAGCTTCCCCCCACCCACCCTCCTGACCCCTTCAGTGGTAAATAGGTATTGTTGGTATCGCTACTCCCTTCGCTGATCTTGATCATGTCTGCTGGCCCTGGCAGTATATCTTTCCCAAGCTGAAGAGACTTCACACACAATTTTTACAGTTTCCATGAAAAACCCTGGCTGCATATAAAGTGACAGCGAATAAATAGTAATATTTGAGGGGAAAAGCATAAAGCTAATTTCAAAAAACTTGAGACTGCTAAGTCTATTGGCTCTTTAGGAATAAAAAACTGTTAGCTAATGAGATATATCATATTACAAGATCGCTCTGACAGCCCAAATGCAAAAAGGATGAAGGCGCCTGGTTGGACCCAGATCCTACAGTTGCTGCCATGCACAATCGGTTGTCATAGTAACCAAGGTCAGATGCTGTTGCCTTGCATGAGACTAATACCTCTCATGGAAAGCTTGAAGCAAGCAGAGGAGATACGATTGCCACCTCCTATTCATGGAGAAAATGTACTTTCCACAAGAATTGATTTGCCATTGTGCAGGTGTTTAAACTAAAGCCAGTCAGAGGTTTACTCCTGGCTCTGTTTGTCTGACCAGAAGTGTCCTTTTTTTGTAATTGAAGAACTACATCAAAC